GCTTTGCAGGACTCCAATGAAACCATCAAAGTCCAGGCCGATGGTGGTCGGGTCATAGTAAGGGTAATCTATAGGTTGGATGCCAACGTTCTTGAAAATGGCATGGTGGTTAGCTGCATAAATGCCTGATTAAACTTCCGCTGAACCCATTCCTACGTGAACTCACCCCAAGTTGGATTACTCAAGTAAATCTGCTTGGGGCCTTCCCAATGGTAAAACTTGCTTAGGAACAAGGCTCCCAAGTGATTTGCGCCAGTTCCGGAAATGGTCTGCACGCTAACGGCACGCCCTTCTGCAATAGAAGGCGAATCTGCGCCAAGAATGAGCTTCGCCGCACCGGCAGTGAACTCCGGTAAACCCGTGATGGGGAGGTATTCGTGATCGAGGTTAGGGTCATTCAGAAGAATGTGTGTGGCCTACAGTGATTGAGTTCAGAGAGTGGCGAATATGTAAAGCGGACGCACCTTCTTAATGACAGGAAGGACCCATGGTTTGTTGTCATCATCTCTGTACGCTCCAACACCGAGGTTGACTTTCTGAGGGAACGTGTCCGCCTTGTACGACGCAGTCAATTTGAAAATGCTATGCGCGACTTTTAGCGAACAAGACAAATATATCGTAGTTTGTACGCACCTGTCGGGTGGAGCAAGGGGAACATCCTGCCATATTTCTGAAGCATGAAAAGATTTGAATGCCGGGCGCCAGTAACGCAGTTGTGATTAACGCTTACCCCCAGACATGGTAGTATTTGAACCCGAAAGGTGATTATAGACTTGTCTTATCCTGTCTGACATGTTGGTTAGCTCCGAGGTAAGCGATGTTGCAAGAGTAACAGATAGTGCGACACGCGGCAGCAGGCTAAGGCAACAAACTCGATCCATGACGATCGCGCCATATGCATGTGATTGGACGGTCAAGGTAAAATCTCCCGAACTTTTCCCATTCAACAACCTGGCAGCGACGACGACTGAACACGAGGAAACAACGGACTCACTGGTATCTGGTTTGAGGGCAGATCAAGGATGCGATGGCGATAGCCAAGATGATGTATAAGTAAGAGCTTCATCTACGGTGAGAATCGCGGGGCTCACGTTTTAACCCCGAATCACCACTGAATTAGGCCTTGTTGCTTGAAATTGAGGTCTCAAACGTTGCAGAGGGCTTTTATCGGCTTGAATTCTACTAGGTATGAGTCACTCTTCCTTGTATAGCCGTTGACATAACCCAAGCTTGTTCGAATAGTAATCGCTCCAAGTGGAGATGCGGACGCGATACACTATCAACGCCGCAGACTACGTCCGCTTATGACAGATCCACTTGGCTACTCGCTACTAAGCGCTACTCCTCCTCTCTCACCCGCTCTGGCTCCGTGAATACCCCAACCTGAATCGTAGAGAGTAATCGCTGTGACATTCCATGGAACATTTGACGGCATTTTTTCGGTCTTGAGGCTTGTATTGAAGCTCGTGACCAACCTGACGTATTATGTATACTATCACAGACAGGTCGAGTACGTATAAACCCTGTTCTCTCTCAAGGTCATAGTCAGACTGATCACGAGTCTAGGGTTATATTGACAGAACACTGATCGCGGAAGCTTAAGCACAACCCTTCCTATGGACTCGTGACCGTTCCATCTGCGTAGGGAACTTCGACACATGATCGGAGGCTTGCTTCGCCGATGGGTTGGTCATCAGTTGCTCCTGTAATGCATGGTTCCCCAAGGATTCTCGAAATCGCACATGTACAAGGGCTTTGCCTTAGATCCCTGTGGCACATACATCATGACCATGTCCGATAGTTCTCCAGTGGTCGTAGAGACTCGACACGTAACCTCGGTCATCACTGTATCATGATTCATGCCTTCGATCGTAAACATGCACTTCGTGACTGAGAGAGGACGGTCCGCTGGGGTATCGCCCTGAGCCCACGAGTCTAATCTTGCCAATGATCATAGGTTGGAGGATGACGGCCAGTTGTGCATCCAATTTCAAATGATATCTGAGGTCTTTCGACACTCAATCCACGGAAATTCGGATAAGATGACCTGGCAGTTCCTCGTGCACTGAACGCTGCACTATAAAGGCACATATGATGAAGCGCTTCCGCTTGAACGCTTCTACGGCAGGTTCATCTACTGCCACCTCAGTAATTATGTAAGCAAGGGTCCAATAATGCGGATATTTCGTTGCATAGGTTCACGGAAATATACATTGTGATGGCCTCAAAGACTAAACTAAACTGTCGAAAGCAAAATGCAAAACAATAACCCTACTCAATAACTATGAGGGCCCGTATTGGACAAAATTCAAGAGTTTGGCTTTGAGCTTGTCGCACTTGACTTTGACTTTGATCTTACCGAATAAGGAAGGTGGGCCCTTTCGACATCAACATCGACCTTGACTTTAACTTTGACCTTGACTTCTGCTTCTGCTTCGACATAACCATAACTCTAAGTACTCTACCATGTGATTAATACAGCTTATGTTGAATTACAGCCAATTCCACTCGAGACTGTTGAGCCCAAGGATGTTGTGTCTCGTTGCTGTTTCTCACGCTTGCTCGCTGTATGCCACTAGTGGCACACGACGGCGAGGACGATAGGCACACTACGAAGCATGATGCAAGACAACTTCAACAATAGCACGGCTTATTGGTATTAATTACAGCCATGGGTCAACTTCGCCGTTCGAGACTACTAATTCCTTAGCATCAGGTTCATCAACCACTTCAGTAGGCTGATCGAGGTGGTGAAGCAATTTCTCAGTATCAATGAGACTTCGGTTGATTGTGCCATATACGCCGCTGCAGGACAGGCCAGCAAAAAGCATGCGCAGATGTAACCCCAACCATGGAGGACCGAGAAAGCAAAGAAAAGTGGCACGTCTTGAGATGATGCCTGCGACTGCGCAGTCACTCGTTTGGAAGAAAGAAAAATAACATTGTATACGGAGGAATCAGACTAATATGAAAGATTATTTGGTGACAAAGAAGACAGGCGTTGAAACATATGCAAGACCTGACGCACAGACTGGGAGTACTTGTGTGAATCTTGATGAGACCGTCCGACCGTGACTTTGTGGACATGGACATAAATATAAGGGATCAGCACATGCTCGACTCCATGGCTCATTCAGAGGACAAGCACTGGAAAGTTTCAGTGACTAGCAGTAAGTGTAGTTGATGCGCACTCACCAAGTGTCGTAGGGAAGGGAAGAACTTGGTCTGGGAACAAGCAGACGTGAAAAATTGTCAGTAGATACATAGAATAAATGAACAAAACCATCGTGCTTGAAGCTTGAATGCTCGGAGTCGCCTCCAAGAGGCGTGTCGAATCAGGGATGTAACGGCTCGCCACACAGACGGACCAGGACATCCATCTCCATCGTGCCGGTACTGCTCCATGCGTCCTGGGGGTGAATGCTCAGTGTCGTTCAGGTCGAAGCATGGCATTGGGTGGATGCGGGGAACATGGGTGGTGATGGTGGTGTTGTAGTTATGGAGTCTTTCTGCCGGCACTTGCCGAGGGTCAAGCTCAAAGTCAAAGCATTAAAGTCAAGCTCAACATCAAGGTCAAAATCAAAATATCAAAGTAACGCGGAAATATAAGCTCAAGACAAGTTTCGCTAAGCGAAAAAACAATTTGTCCAGTACGGTCCCTACTCAATAACAGTTTATTTCGCCAGTTTATTTTTTTGAGCGAGCAGGACGAAATAAACTGGAATAAACTGTCAAGTAAGGTTTGATGTGCATTCGTGTTGCGGAGAGTGAAATAGGAGCCGCCGACCGACTTGCCGAGAGACTGCAAACGAACACTCATGGCGCGTGATAGCTCAGTGCATCGACAACGACGTCGACGTCAGCATCAAAATGCGACTAGGACTCGGAGAAAAATTTGCATAAAGATCTTCGAGATAGCCACCCGGTGTGCTGGTGGTGAGTAGGGATGAAATTGGTGGGAGGGTATAGTTTTGTGAGTGTTGGTGCTGATCTCGATGCTTGCGTGGAGAACGACGCATCCCAGTTATCGGGTCAACAGCATAGTTGAGTTCAGCGGGTGCAGAGAGCTGATCGGAAAAATCGGGGGTTTGCAAAAAAGAGATGTGGTCCCATGAAGCAAGCTCGAGTGCGAGCTTCTGTTGTCCGTCTTCGCTCCAGTAGTCACTCATACTCGATGCTGGTATACTTTTACTCCTCATCAATCGTACTTCGGCTGCTCGGCATCACAATCAGTCTCAGTTCACTCCGACAACTTCGCGTATGAAATAAATTGGCAAATAAACTGCCACTCAATAACGCTGTCAGTTTATTTCCCACCGCTTATCGTTTGAGCAGCAAATAAACTGGTGAAATAAACTGTTATTGAGTAGGGTTAATATGTAAGACGAAGATTCAAAACTTCCTCCCAAGCTCCTCTACTTTGCATTCTCCCTGGACATGAAATAGCTCGGGAAGATGCCCATCAGCTCTTCGAGGTACCAATAATTGCCCGAAAGCTCATCCAGAGGGCCTTTGGCTTTCTTCCCGCGTTTCCCTTGAGACTTCTTCGGTGCTTCACTGTCAGCCTTGTCAGCACCCACCTCCTCGCGCACGATCTGCACCCATAGCCCACCAAGCCCCATCCCAAGGCTCAGCATATCGAGCACGGCAGGCTCTACGGCCAGCACAATATCATCTTCATACGGATTGTGCGGCTTCCCGGGGCCGCTGCCTTCAACCTCGCCATCAGGCATGACCACTGCGCCGCGAGAGGTCTTGCGGATAGATGGCTTCACAATATCGCTTTCCTCTCTCCCCCATGGGCTCATGACAACCCGCGCAAATCTCCGCTCTAACTCATCCTCCACCATTTCCGCCGTATCGCCCTTGATCTTCGCCTTATCCTTCGGGGGCGGGTGGATCGCCTTGATGCGACGCGTCGATGACTCCACAATCCCTGTGCTGTGCGTCAGTGGGAAAGAGGTGGGACCCAAGAGGGACGTGAGCGAGGGCGGCGGGGAAAGCCAAGAGGGTTCAGTCACTTCGGGTGCAAATGAGAGTGGGGCGGAGTCTGCACCCCATTCGTCATTGTCATCCGCAGGGCCCCACCCGCCATCGCCAATGGCACCCCAGCCGTCAGAGCCTACAGAACCCCAACCTTCGGTATCGCCCGTGGCACCCCACCCGCCGCCAACGGCGTCTGCTGTGTCTGCAGACCAGATGTCGGGTGGTACGGTGGTAGTGGCGGTGGCGATTGGGGCGGTGGTGTCGGCATTGGTGACGGGGGCAGTAGTGTGCATGCCAGTAACCTGGATCTCCATGTCAACATTGTCTTCGATGGCATCTTTGAGGGCGGTTTCTTCCGTATCTGGGAGAACAATCTCCGTTTCTGCCCCATGCTGATCGATAACAGTAATCGTCGGATCAGCTGAAGATAAAAGATAAATACATCAATAAGCCGCATCGCGCAGATGACTGGACTGAGATTACCTGAAGCAGGTGGATCATCTGCCTTTTGGCGATCTTCGAAAGACCATTCAATTCCGCCTCTTCGGCCGAAGCACTCCTTGCAGCCATCACTGAACCCATCAGGCAACGCCTGCCCGATCTTGTATGTTAGGGGCAGCTCCTTCTTTGCGAGCTCTACAATGTCAAGGGCACGTCGGATGCCGCTTTCATGCGAGGCTTTTGAGAGAACGCGGTTCCGCAAGACAAAGTTCAAGAAGAAACTAATGAGGTGTGGCGCGTTGATGAGGTTCCTCTCCGACCTATGAGAGTCATTCAATGAGAATAGCGTGACCCAGAATTATTGAGAACTGACCAGATGAGGCCTTGTTCACGCATGTAGGATGATAGGAAGACCGTCACCGACTTCTCGGGGTCGTTTAAGAACACGACGAGCTTCTCCTCGCGCTGCTCCTCTAGATCAGATTTGCGTGCCTGCAAATTGCCTTCGTCGTCGTCATGATCGTCCAACTCAGCAGAATAAGTTGATTGAGCATCCTTCGAGGGAGGAACTTGTCCAGAGGTGTCCTCCGCATTCATCTCAATGTTCGATGCGCCATCACCGAATTCGTCATCGTCATCTGCCTCTTCGTCTTTGCTCGGTTTACGATAGCCAGTTGGATTGACGAGGAGCCCAACGTAAAGACGAAACTTTGAGAAACCGTGAGGTTGGTGCAAATGCAAAGATGAAAATAACTACCTGGTCCCAGAGCTGATTGACCCCAGAAGTGATCGGCGGCCAAGTGCGATTGACCCTAAAGTCATTCGCAGCATGAAAGAGGCGATCCGCATGGGAGACACTCCTAGTAAATCGATCAGTAACAATTCACGATATCATGAACCTCAGGACGCGATCACAGTCGATAACGAAGGACCTACGGATCAAACTTGCCCTTCGTGATACGAAGATCCTCGCCTTCCTCCCACTCTTCGTACCACGGGACTTTCCTTGCAGGCATACCATCCACAGTAGCAGCCGACTTCTTCTTGCGTTTTCTCTTACGTGTGTTGCTCTTGCACTCGTCGGTTAAATGCTTCACGCGCAACTCGACGGTGGGTATCCCCAGCCCGTCAAGCTCCATGCCGTCCTCATCTGTGCCACCGACAACTTCAGCGAACAGCTGTATCCCGCGCGCCCTGAAATCCTTGAAAGGAATGAGTGTCACGCCTGGTGGGAGTGTTGGGAAAGGCGGAAAGGTGATGAACGGGATCTCCTGCGTCGCTGTTGTGTCCGACGCAGAGGGTTCAGCAATCCTTGAAGGCATTTTGGTGAACGATAGGGTAGACAATCAAGATTGGATCGATAAGTGGGATATGAGATCTTTTTGGTGCTTGTTCAGATATAGCCTGCCGGGGCATCCGAAGTCTTGGCCAGCTTCAGCAAGAATCAAGCAGACAAGGTGAAAATCTAAATGCTCCAATACCACCTTCCAAATCCAGACCATGCCGCAAAACCACCGGTGACCGTGTGTTACGGTGATGTGAATTGTTGTACAGTGCGATTCTATGATGCTAGTCTGTAAAAGACACAACAGGATAACTCATACAATACTGCAGTAACGTCATAACGAGTCATCCTACCGCACCTCCTTCGGCGGTACCCACTCTGGTATCTTTCCCCATTCGAATTTCTCCGCCGCGAACGCAGCCTTCACATCTACCGGCAATAAATCCATGTAGTTTGGCGGCAATAGACCAGCATATCTGTCAGGTTTTAGCTGGATTTTGGACCGTGAAAATGCAGGTGCTGATGCAGACGGTTTCGAAGCATCGGATAGGACTGTGGTCATTGGAGTTGCGAACGTAGTAGAAACCATGGGCACAGAACTGCCAAAGGGTGATGGAGCTCCAGTGCCTGTGCTACCGAACGCAGATGTCAATGTTGGCGCTGATCCGAAAGCGGACTGCGGCGTTATGGAGGACCCCCCGATTGCATTTGGTGCGGATGGTGTAGAACCAAAGGCACTTTGTGGGGTTGGGGCGGAGCTAAATGCACTTTGCACCTGTGCTGGCGCAGCAAATGCGCTTTGTGTTGATGCAGGGGCAGGGGCTCCGAATGATGACTGTCCAAAAGCCAATGCTTGCGTCGGTGCTGACGCAAACCCGGACGGCTGGGATGCAAAGGCAGAGAACCCGCCACCGGCTCCGGCGGCAGTGCTCCCAAATGCTGAGGGTGGACCACCACTAGTGCCAGTGTTCCCAAACGCTGGTGACGGAGCACCAAATGCACCTGTGGAAGGTGCTGAAGAGCCAAATGCACCGGACCCAGGTTTAATCAACGATGATTGCCCGAAAGCCGACGTTGGCTGAGTGGCTGATCCAAATGCAGAGGGCTGCCCAAGCGATGAGCTTGGTTGCTGTCCAAATGCTGATGTCGTTGGAGCAGGCTGCCCGAAAGCAGACGTTGACTGTTGCGGCTGCCCGAAGGCAGACGTTGACTGTTGTAGCTGCCCAAACGCCGACGTGGTCTGTGTAGGTTGTCCAAATGCAGAGTTTGGTTGCTGTCCAAATGCTGATGTCGTTGGAGCAGGCTGACCAAAGGCAGATTTTCCAAAGGCAGTGGAAGCTGCACCGGACGCCGATAGTTGAGGGCTAGAACTAAAGGCTGGTCCACTACCGAACGCCGACCCCGCAATCGCATTCGTTCCAAACGCTGATCGCCCACCAAAAGGGGACATCTGACCGAGCGCAGTCGAAGCAGCTTCCTTGCTCAGTTTGAAAGCAGCGTCATGTAGCTGTGCAGCGTTTCTCCTAGCGCTATCGTACGCCTGCTCCGATGCGGCTATTTTATCTGACTCGTATTTCATCTGTGAATCCCTTCATCACTCACTAAGATTTCCTTCGTTATTTGGCTACGCACATATTCGTTGATGGTTCCTGCCTTCAACGCAGTCACCGCCTTCACACGAAGTTCCTCGGGCGACTCGTCCAATCCTCCAACCACTACTGGTTCATATTTCGCAGCGCCATAGGATGATAGTGGCCATAAAGGCTTATCTTGTAGAGGGGTTACGTCTCTTGCCATTGACTCAGTGCTGAAGACCATGCTGTTAACGAATTCGTATACAGATCCGGAACTACTTACGTATATGGAACTGCCATGTCTCTCGAACCACTAGTAGTGTTTGTCCAACTTTGATCTATATATGTGATGAATATGAAAGGAAAGCCATGAGGAAGTTGAGACAACGTACTTCCAAAGCCAACCTGTTGTGCTCGGTCCGCTGGATGCTCGTTGCGACATCTATCGCCATATTTACACGCGCCACGTAGATAGTACGAGCAGACTGTCTAACATTACAACCGTTAATATTGCCTCAAGTTCTCAGAATGGTAGCGCACCATAGGATACAGAAGTCGATCACTCGGAGTCAGCAGGGGAATTCCAACCAAATTGAGCTTGTTTGCGTACGTTTACCTGACTTCAACAACGACAAACTAATAACAACCTGACATAAGCTTGCTGCCAGGCAAGAGTATCACATTCAAAATCTACGTCGTTCTTTGAACTTTGCACATCCATCTCTCCAGAAAGGATACTGATCCGAATATGCACCCTAACAATTACTCTAGGTCCTACCGCAGGACTCTCATGTACATAAATACAGACACCTCGCGCCTTCATCTTGGCCTTGCGCACAGACCAGTGATCCATGCAGTGTAAGCGACCTACACCGTGTTGTCCACTCATCTGTGCGTACTGGATGGTAATTGACGCATATTGAAACCCACCGCTCAGAGTCAGTACTTGACCATTGGACTAATGGAACAAAAGGTCACAGGGTCATGCCCTTTTGTCGAATATCACGTCTCAATTCGTGCCGCGAGCACAGACAAGTTCGAACACACCTGTCGAAAAGGTGTGCTACATACCATGTCGAATCCTCGTATACGGTTACCAGATGCCCCTATCTGAACGGACGCTTGGACAGGTTCGCGAGTCTTACGACCGCCAGGCGTTGTGATTGACGCAAAGTACACCTCATTCAAGTTGACTTGTCAATTGGCCGTTGTGAATGTGTATTAAAGTTACCAGCGAACGGCGTAATCAAGAGGTGAATCACCTTGACCATTCTGACTGTCAGAGCACAAGAACCGCAACGTCTGACAACTTCAACCAGTCTATGTCAGGCAAGTCTAGATCTTGTTGGGATAAGGCTGCAAGTATGAAAGGTCAAAACCAGTCTCTATCAATGTTGTCTACACACATCTGTACCATATGCATCAACTACCAACGCCATAGTATCCATCAAGCTCCCACAAAATAAGACCAGTCATCTCATTGCAACCACCACCCCCACTTCCTGCCCAAGACAATTACAGCTCCAGTGTATGACAACAAGGAGACAAGCATCGGCATGGCTGTCAATGACGTGGTCCCCATACGACTGGAGTTTCGCGAATGCAGAGCCCCGTGGCACGGAACCGCCATAGTGGTGGGACTGATATTGGGATGCAAATGAACCTGTCGAGGCGTGTTTAGTTAGCACCCGGAAAGTACTGTGTTCAAGTACCTTGCTTTACTCCTAGACTCCCGAAGCCAAGAAGCCAAATAATCGGCCGTGCCGGGAGAAAATACACGTACAATGCGGTGATTCCCGTGAGCTGCAATGATGTAAGGAGGACCTCATGATCTGCAGATGCAGAGGTGCACAGCAAGGCTCCAGCTGCTACATACGGATGCCTGATGGCTGGAAAGGATATATCAATCCCATCAGCACGTGTCGTGAGCAAGAGGTGAATGACCTACACCAGTTGTTGGCCGCTGTCAGAGCGTAAAAAGCACTGGAGAGAATAGCACCCCGCAGTTTGGGCCAGTCGAGATCTAGTCTTCGTTAGATTGTCCGTGATTAGATTAGTTCCTCTAACATAATGTACCATAAATCATCTTGATGAACGGCCGTAGTTTCTCCTGGCATTGCCGGGACATAATTGTCATAGCAGAACTCCAGTTGCAATATATGGATGCCTGTTTGCTAGAACGTGTACGTGAAGCCCCAGAAAAGTATAATAACCGAGAGGCGAATAACATACACCAGTTTTTTGGCCTCTGTCAGAGCATCAGACGCACGGGAGTTGATATTGCCCGATACTTTAGACCAGTCGACATTGGACAGGTCTAGATCTTTCTGGGACACGGCCTCATTGCTGACATGAGCGTATTGAGCCGCATCAGCAAAGGCGTGATAATAGAGAGGCGAATAACATACACCAATCGTTTGGCCTCTGTCAGAGCATCAGACGCACGGGAGAGAACATCACCCGACGCTTTGGACCAGTTGATGTTTTGCAAGTCTATGTCTTTCTGGGACACGTCCTGAGCGCTGAAAAGTGTATATCGAGCCGCATCCGGGTTAGCAAAAGATATGTACACTCAAGGTGCGAATAACCTACAGTTGTTTGACCTCTGTCAGAGCATTAGAAGCACGGGAGCGAATAGTGTCTGACAGTTTCGACCAGTTGGGCGGGTCTGCATCTTGCTGGGACATGACCTGATTGCTGAAATATGATGAGCACATTAGTAAAGAGCATTGGCTACTCATAGGGCGAATAACCTCAGTTGTTTGGCCTCTGTCAGGGCATGAGAAGCACGGGAGATAACAGCGCTCGTCAATTTAGACCAGTCAGGCAGGTCTACATCTTTCTTGGACATGGCTGTAGGCGTGAAAGGGTCAATACCACTGCAGGCTTTGCATGGGTCTTCGCACGAGCGACCAAGCGCTCGTCGTTGTCATCCATCAATCGATTGAGCTCCCACGACACGAAATCAAATCCAAACTTGTCATTCGTTTGACGAAGCCATATACAATCCCAGATTTTGCTGCATACATGCGTCAAGGCCACACAATCACCTGACACACAGCTTGCATGCAGCTCGAGCCTCGAGGTCGGTGTGTAAGCCCGAAAATTAGCCAGGTGTAGAAATGGGCATTTGCGCCCTATCAGCCGCTGCGTTGGCTTATGGTGATTGCACCTCCGCGGCCCATCTCCCAGAACAAAATGTATGGGATCCAATGCAAGGTCAAGCTTCCATGTGGCAGCATGCCACATACCCAGAAACGAGTCAATTTAAATACGGACCCAGGAAAGACACATCCAGGTGAACAAGGACCGACGACATCGACATGCGGATCAATTCAGAGTCAGTCGCAGTCTTCACGAAAAGTTGCAGTCGTGGTCTTAAAATGATACTAATATGCACCCAACGAATACTCCAGGTCATACCGCAGGGCTCCCATGCATACTCACACACAGACGCGTCACGCCTTGACGCATATCGAAACAGGGGTTTCGTCGCTCAGCGACGCATGCCCCGAGGGACTGTCAATGGCGCTTGACATAATGGCGCCATGGTATCTAATTTCCATTCGACATTCGATACACAACACTATCAGCCACCTCATTGAAACCACCACCCCCACTCTCTTCCCAGGACAAATACAGCTCCAGTATACGACAACAAGGAGACAAGCACCGATATGGGTGGCGATGGGGTGGCCCCATATGACTGGAGTGTCGAGAATGGAGAGTTTCGTGGCACGGAACCGCCAGGCATATTGGACTGATAACGGGATGCAAACGAATCTGTGGTGGGGTGTTTAGTAGTAGGGAGCGAGAAGCACTGTTTATCTACCTTTTACTACTCCTTGATTCCTGAAGCCATAACACCAGGTAATCAACTGCACCGGGATAAACAGTGCAATAACCCCCATCAACCGCAATGATGCCAAAAGGATCGTAGGATTTGTAAACGCAGAGATGCACAGCAAGACTCCAGCGGCTATATATGGATGGCTGATCGCTGGAAATTATGTATCGAGCCATCAGCATCTGTCATGATCAAGATGTGAATGACCTACAAAAGCTGTTGACTGTTGCCAGAGCATACAAGACACCGGGGAGAATGATTCTCCATGCATACAAAACACTGGAGGGAATCATTCTCCACGCATACAAAACACCAGAGAGAATGATTCTCCATGCATACAAAACACCGGAGGGAATCATTCTCCACGCATACAAAACACCAGAGAGAATGATTCTCCATGCATACAAAACACCGGAGGGAATCATTCTCCACGCATACAAAACACCGGAGGGAATCATTCTCCATGCATACAAAACACCGGAGGGAATCATTCTCCATGCATGCAAAACACCGGAGAGAATGATTCTCCATGCATACAAAACACCGGAGGGAATCATTCTCCATGCATACAAAACACCAGAGAGAATATCTCTCCACAATTTGGACCAGTCGAGATCTAGCTCTCTGAATGTACTACAAATCTTCTCAATGAACAGTCGCATAGTAGAGCTCCAGTCGCGATACATGCTATGCGTGCATTAAGCCCATCAGAAAAGGTATAATAATCAAGAGGTGAATAACCTACGCCAGTTGTTTGGCTGCGTGTTGCAACGTTGAAAGGTCGATACCACAGGATTTGTACAAGCGGCTGTTATAAGCATGCCATGATGTAAAGCTCCCACGAACCACAAGGTCACTCAAGTACTCACCGGCCGCACCGCCAGCACCCACACAGCATGAAGCGCTGAAGGTCAACGAGTTGAATAAATATGATCATCCATCCGTCTTCTTGTCGGAAGCTAAAACTGCTCATTGAGCTGAGTTTGGTCTTAGCTGACCGCTTAATATCGTACGCGAGCCTCTCCACCAATGAAAGCACTCGCTTAAGGCTAAAGAAAGGTTCAAATTGCGAACATAAAGCGAGGCCTTTCTCAGATGGGCCTGACGATTGACGTCGCGGCATCGTATAATTGACTATCAATTTTCTCTCCATTTAGAGTCGGCACCCTGGTGCACGACCGCGACAGACTCCGCGCAAGTACTTCTAAGCTCCGCGCGTTACAAACATATCTTCCTTCGCAAAGCTAGAGTTCCGTGGCACATAGCCGCCATAACGGTATCGGGATGCAAATTAATCTGTCAAAGTGGGTTTAGCTAGCGATGAGAATTTAGAAAGTCCAGTAGTTACTACTGGAATAAAAGATGTACCTTTCGCTACGCCTTCTGAGTTCTCTCCAGAAACTGACAATATGCAGAATGAGCCTTCCCAAGACCTTGAAGAGCCAGAAGATCAACCGAAACGGGGGGAGACATATAACGCGCTGTTTTTCCTGTGAGCCGCAATGACGTCAGAAGGAGCCTAGGATTTCCGAAGACGCATAGTAGAGCAACGTATGGATTTCTGTTTGTTGGACAATGTATTATCAATAAACTCATCGTGACTGTCAAAGCACAAGAAGCACGGCAGAGAATAGTACCCGACATTTTCCACCAGTTGATGGCAGGCAGGTCTAGATCTTGCTGCAGGTATGAAAGGTTAAAACTAGCCTTCGTCAATGTCAACTGCACACCTCTGTGCTTATATGAGCGACCAGCGCCATGGCATCCATACCGACGAAATTAATCTAGAACTGTCATTCCTTTAACAATGATCTACCTATACAAGGTAGTCTCATTTCAACCCCCTCCATCCGATATAAAAATACCAGTCGCCTCATTAGAACCACCACCCCCACTCCCTGACCAAGACGATCACAGCTCCAATATACAACCACAAGGAGACAAGAATCGATGCGGTTGACGGCATGGTGGCTCCACGTGCCTGGAGTTTCGCGAATGTAGAGTTCCGTGGTATACTGCCACCATAGTGACGGGCCTGATATTTGGATGCATGTGAACCTGTCGCAGGGCGTTTAGCTAGCTAGCAAGCGGAAAGCGTCGTGTTTATGTACCTTTCTCTACTCCTCGACCCTTGAAGCCAAAGAACCAGATAGACAACCGCACCGGGACGAAACACATGTACTTCGCAGTATTTCCCGTCGATGTCAGGAGGACCTCAGGATCTGCAAATGCAGAGATGCATATCAAGGCGATGGCTGCTACATATGGATGCCTGATTGCTGAAAATTATGTATCAAGCCATCAGCATATGATATGATGAAGAGGTGAATGACCTACACCAGTTGTTGACCGCTATCAGGGTGTACAAAATGCTCCACAATTTAGACTGGGGGATGTCTTTGTTAAATTTTCTGTGACGATGAAATTAGATCCCCCGTATTGAGCCACATCTGATAGTAAATAATCAAGAGGTAAGTAACCTACACCAGTTGGTTGGCCTTCGTCACGTCAGACGCATGAGAGAGAAGGGTGCCCGACAGTTTTTTCTTGGACATGGCTGTAGGCGTGAAAGGTCAAGACAACCACAGATTTTGTGATTTCTACTAGCGACTAAGCGCTCATCAATATATATGCAAAGCTCCCATGAAATCAACGCAAATTGAGTCTGATTTGCCGTATACGTGGAGGCTCGCACCCACATAATTTGACAAGTTGAACAAATATTACCATCCATTTTCTTGCCGAAAGCCAAAACTTGAAGCTTGGCCAGGGAATCAATAGATTTACGCCCTGTCAGCCTATAAGGACAAACTTGTTAAACAGCTCCGGGGGCCCTTCACCGGCACCGGCGTCACCCAGAACTGGAATCTACGATAGGGAAGATGAGATGTTGAACGAAAGAGTGCGATTGACGTCACGCGTAGCATCACAACTGTTAATGCGCACCAGTTTATGTAAGTGGTGTCAGCCCGCGTGAAGACCGCGACAGACTCCGCGTAAGTACTTCTGAGCTCCGCGCTTTACAGCTAGATAAACAGAACATATAGGAGGAAGATAGTGACGATGAAGTCTGCGTTCGCTATTATCTTCCTTCTATAAATTTGACAGACTGAAGGCTAGGGCAGACTCAGACAGACCCCGTTACAAACCCATTCGCAACACTTCTGCAGTACCCAGCTGCAGTACTTACTACGAGCGTCACGCAAGCGAGAGGGAACACGCGTACACGGTTCTACCAGGTAGATGAACATGTCACTACCTAGGATGTGTCAACTTCCCTCCCATGTTGCGCAGGCGCTACCGCCCACCGCATCAATACCACCACCCCCATGCCCTGCCCAAGGACAAACACAGCTCCAGCACCCGACAACCAGGACACAGCAACCGCGAGCGTCGATCCTCCTTCATCCTCGTCATATTCAGTAGCCCCATGCGACTGGAACTTCGCAAAGCCAGAGTCCCGTGGCACATAACCACCATAACGACGGGACTGGTATCGAGATGCGAATGAATCTGTCAATACGCGTTTTAGTGAACGACGAGAACGAGTACTGTAGTCACTACTGGAATAACAGACGTACCTTTCGCTACGCCTCCTCTCCTGAAACCGAAAATATACAAGATGAGCCTGCCCAACATCTTGAAGGGCCAGAAGAACAACCGGAACGGGAGGAGACATATATAACGCGCTGTTTTTCCCGTGAGTCGCAATGGCGTCAGAAGGAGCTCAGGATTTCCAGAGATGCATAGTAGAGCTCCAGCTGCAATGTATGGGTGGTTGATTGCTGGAAATTTTATCATCGACAAATGTCGTGAAGAGGCGAAATTGAATAATAACCCACACCAGTTGTTGATCTCTGTCACAGCACAAGAAGCGAGAATGGTGTCTCGCAATTTGAGCCAGTCGATGTCGAGCAGGTCTTCGTCTTGTTGGGACATGGCTGTATGCGTGCAACTTGAACTTGAAGGTCGACGGACGAATTTGGTTATATAGGCAGCAACGCATAATAAGCGCCAGGCGCCTACATCATAAACCACAATATTCAAGTCCCATGAAATCAATCGCTGTCATTCTCTTGAAAAAAGTGTACTCCACACCCGCTGGGCGACATCATTTTTTGCCCCATAATTAAGGCCGCATATCCACTCATGCAGCTTGACATTACCCTACATCTACTTGTCGAACACCGGAAGCTTGAGCGTAGAAATGCAACGTTTAAAACCCCATCAGCGAAATATCATTATATAATAACGAAACTCGCAGTATGCACCCATAGCCTAATGCCCACCACCCAGAACAAGACACAAGGCATCCAGGGGACAGTTGAGCATGAGATCCAAGACAGGAAAGATCTCCAGACACATCAGTGTGAACGAGGAAAGCAACATCAACTGGTCCAGGCCTCGAGGACACCGATTGGCACCTTTGAAGTTATCATCAGTGGTGGAGATGCGAGGAGGGTGTCCGCGTCACGCGTTACACGGCATGTGCATGACTAGCGCTGGCGAGTTGGGTTGTGTTTCCGGTGGTTCTGCTGACGGAAGCCTACTCCGACTCACCAGAGTCAGAACAGGCGTGCGCGACCGCTGGTGACTTAGATACATTGTAAGTACGAGAACATGGATTAGAATGCGATGTGGCAGCACTTACTAGTACTTAGCGACAGCGCCCCGACAGGAAACCCCTGAAGACACTCACAATCAGCGTGTTTGTACCATCTTCAACTCATCTGAGACGGCGGGTTATAGCACACCTGGGACACTGGCAACAGCGTAGCGACGAAAAGGTGGCAAAAAGTTCAAGTTTGCGTTGGTGTGTCTAATGATTCTGTGACTTACACATCCCAACACAAGCGAGGTGCTCAGAGAAGCGGATTCGACTGTTCTGTGAGGAAAATTGATGCAGTGTACCTTGTCCAAGGAGTCAGATCCAAGAGCGGGAATATAGGACATACCAGTGTGAACGAGGACAGTAATTAGCACCTTGAAGGTTGTCGTTGGTGGGATGAGTGAGGGCCATCGCGTCAAGCATAATGTGACATATGCTTTGCTAGCGCTGGCGAGTTAGGTCGTCTTTCAGCTTTAACTCCTCGGCGTCAGCAGAACGATAGGCGCATGCGACCACCAGGATGCATTCTGTGTGAACATGAATCTGTGGCATGCTGCGGCACTCGTTAGCAATTGATGATAGGCGCAGTAACATCAACTACTCAGTGCTACGAGAGTGTCACTTGAGCGTGAAAAAGGGAGAGAGGGGGAACCACAGAAAGGAACGCCCTGACAGGACAGCTAACCAGGTGGAGATGGTGAACTGTGATAAGGACGTCCACGTCGCACGTAAAATAGCGTATGCATACTAGTGAGTACTGGTGAGTGCTGGCTGCAGCTGCGTATGACTATACACAACGACGCTGACCAACTCACCAGCCTTCCATATTAATGACAGACTAATACGCGACCGCTCCAATACATACCACTATGAGGTGTGTAAGATTACTCACCAGCGAAAAACGGCGGCGGAAGGCGGAGTAGCATCACCCCAGAAGAATTCTCGGTAATACGAGGTGGCACTCGAGCGTGCACAAGAGGAGAAGGAGCACCACTGAATAAGGACGCCTGCTATGAGTGATCGAGATATCGACGGTAATTCGGAGCTCAATGATATGGCTGCGACGACTCAAAAAGGAAGATATTTTGTAAGCCAGTGGTTCATTGATACTGCAGTGTCATCCAACTGCAAGCAACGTGCTATGGTCACCACGTGGAGATCCGAGTCAGTACTTGCTTCGTTCTAAGTAAAGCACTAGGAGGTCCGTGCGCTCCCTCAAAGGGTTTGTGTGCTTCGAAGATTTACGCCTCGCTCCTCCAGTTATACGTACTATATCTTTCACTCCGCGCCATGTATGCATGCCTGCTCATTCCAGAGATTCTAAAACAAATTTTCTCTGATATCTATTTCTCTGGAACGAACGGTGGTTTACAAGATTATTGGGATCACTGCTACTTTCGCGACCCACCGTACTATCCATCCCAACCCGATCGAGGAACCGCACGACGTTCTCTAGCCGTACTCTCCCGTGTCTGCAAGTCCTTCAAAGACGTAGCGTTGGATGTGCTCTGGGCCGAGCTGGAGAATTTGCAGCCGCTTTTCACTTGTCTTCCACAAGATTTATGGACGAGGAATAGCAATCTGAAACTTGTACGTCCTACCCACTTTTTGGGACACACCCTCAGAACTTACGATGCTAACTTTCACGGTCAGACCACACAGAGACCTGTGACCGCAGCAGATTGGTCGGTCTTCGAGCGATACGCACCTCGGGTGCGAGTTCTGGGAGACGTGAGATCAGATATTTTCGGAGGCATACGTGCGGATTTCGTCTATGCCATAATGAGTTTTTCTTCCCAGTCGCTGCTGCTGCCAAACCTTCGAGCACTCTGCTGCGGAGGATGTCCTCGCAACCTCCATCCATGTATGCGTTACCTTCTGGGTCCTAACCTCAGCTACCTACATCTGGCGTCCAATCAAGCAGATTTTTGGACGCACATCATGTCTTCGTTGGTATCAGGTCTCTGCAGACATTCTCCAAGACTGGAATTCGTCAAACTACATCCGACGTCTTCCAAAGTCACTGAGGTTACTCTCCACGGGCTCCTGTTCCTGCGGAAGATACGGCTTGGCTTGCGCGGCAACGAGGATTTGTCTTATTTATATCGTATCGTTGGCCTTCAAGAGTTGCACATCCAGATTATGAAACCTTACGCTCGCGTCAAATCTCAATTTCGTACCTCTTGCCTGGACAAATTAGTCATCAGTGTATCCGATTTCGAGGCCTTTGATGGAGATATGACAGAAGGCTGGATTATTCCATGCAGACAGTTGCAACTCGTTCCCCACGATGTAGAAACTTCCCTTTCCGTTGAACGCACCCTACGCAAGCTGACCGATCGGGTACTTTTCGATGATCTCGAATGTATCACCCTGTATGCTAGTACCCACATCGGGGAGGCATTCACTGTCCACACATTCACTCCCCTCATGCGCTTCTCCGGGCTGAAAGAGGTTGATCTTTCAACATGGTGTATGTCATTGCTTGATGACGATGGACTTGGTTCAATCGTGAAGTCCTGGCCATGCCTCGAGCGCCTTGAGTTGGGAAACAAAGTTATATGGGACGAGGACGCGCCCATGATAACTTTTCGGGGCCTTGTCACGTTACTATCGTCTTGCCCCAATCTCAGGACGCTTGGTTTGGTATTTGATGCTACGAATGTAGATCCAATTACCGCCGAGAAACCAGGAGGTGGAGTCTGCAACACAAATATCACCACCTTTTCAGTAGGGGGCTCTCCGATTAAACGACCACTGCTGGTCGCGGTCGCACTCGAAGCGGTCTTGCCGTGCTTGAGAAAGTTCAAGATCGAAGGAAATGAATATGACCTCTGGGAGGAACGGGGTTCAGACCGAAATCTGCAACAGGCCAGGTGGGAAGAGGTATCGGAGTACATTGGTGTTCTCCCTTTGATCAGGCAGCATCAGAGTTCACGTGTTTAATCCAACGTTACGGGCTTCCAGTCAGGCTCCATAGAAGGTCAATAGCGTCACTTGTTGAGTATTGTAGGTAATCTACTTTGCACTATTAAACATCGAAGATGATATATTACCTATAAGTCACTAGCTGAGGTGTACTTAGATGTTCTACCTACATCTCGCAATGGACGAGCGTCGCTGGTCCCAGAAGAACTTCCTCGCCCAGGTGTTGGTTCTTGGATTGGACGGTGAACACCGACGCAAATGCTTGATGCTGAAGTTATTAAACGAGGGTGAGCAATGTGAGAGTTATCGTTTAGACCTGACGTATGAATAGAAAGGTACGCTGGTGGAGAGCCATACGCGTAGAGGGTATACTTATTGGCAGGGACAATAGCACTGACAGAATACTCATTGTGAACGTGATAAACTGGATTCTCGTCTGGCACCGCGACGCCTGCCACGAGTGTGACTGAACCTAAATCACGTTGGACTTCCCATATGACGAACTTGCAGGCACGCTCGGATATATTCTACCCAGGGACGACGACCCGCCGTGCTGGTTCGTTCTACACAGGAAGGCAAGTCGGAGGGCACAGTAAATACAACAAATAAACGAAACATACACATCTATAAGGGTCGACCACGGTAGTTCTCTGGACATTGTGAAACCGCGTGAGTCGGGACAACTAAAAGTTCATCGTGTCATTCGTCTTTTTTCAATCCAGAAGCTCTTACCACACAATATGAAACGGCTATCGCTAGTGAGCAACTTCGGATCTGTTGGACGTATCTGATGATCTCGTGAACTTCTGAGTCGATATGATTCTCACCAAGGGCAGTCATATGCTCACAAATGATCAAGGATGTCCAATAGATGGCGCGAGGACGGTAGTCAGCTTGTATAAAAATCTGCTACAAATCTATATTCATAAGACAACGAATTCGAAGAGCGAAAACGATGAAACTAAATACCCGGATCATGTCAGCGAAACCACCCTAGAAGCAGAAACATAGCCGGCGGCCGCTTCCATGCTCCCCAGTATTTATCGGCACTCCTATAGGGTTTGGCGCAAGAGGATCATAGTCTTCATCGCGTATCCAGTCATCGTCATTGCTGGGAGCCGGAGCACCCACTGTAGCGATACGCTGCAAATTCTGTGTGTTGTCGTGTGTCATGATACAGCATCGACTTGGTGATTAAGCCCTGCTCACCTTTATATTCCCAAAGTTACGATCTTTGAACATTATTCTGACGCTGAGATCCAAATAAAGTGCCCATCCTCAGAATTCGAAAGGTCAAGAGCAATAACAGATTTACCATATCATAAGTGACTGTCACGTTAGACCCGCTTTCTAGGCCACTGCTGCGTGGTCTGACGCACGACCAGGGTACAACATCACGCTTCGGCACGCATTCAATCCGCGAACATTGCTGATGCATAGTCCGGGCAACTTGAAACATCGAGATTCGGATCATGATGAAGTCCCCCCATGAGTGCGTACAGTAGAAAACAAAAGCACGACGAGTACAGTAAGTCGAGAAAGCAGAATGCTTGTGAGTCGTGGTATAAAGCAAAAGGTGTCTCAAAACTTAACTTTTCACGCAGATGTACTAGGTAATGTATGCGCTTGTGCCTCGCGCCTACGTAGAAGCCAAAACGCGATGAGCCCAATACACAGGTAAACCACTACATAAACCCCCATCAAATGCCACCACCCCCACGCCCTGCTCAAGATTAAATTAATTCCTAATCCTGACAACCAGCGCACAGAACCCGCAAACGTCGAGATTTCAGTGTCCTCGTGATCATCTGCAGCAGCCGCAGATGCCGCTTCAAGTCTGTGCAGGTAATCTCCAGCGGCCCCATATGACTGAAATCCCGCGGAAAGAGAGTCCTGTGGCACATGGCCACCATAATGATAGGATTGGTATTGGGATGCCAATGAATCTGTCGCGGCGCGTTTAGTTACTGACGACGAGAACCTGCTACTAATTAATCAAAGACATACCTTCTGCTACGCCCTCTCTCCGGAAACCAAAAATATACCGGATGAACCTGCCCAAGACCTTGAAGGACCAGTAGATGAACTCAAATATGTGACGTGCTGTTCTCCCCATGAACCGCAATGGTGTCACAAGGATATAAGGATTCACAAGGGTGCATATTAACGCTCCAACTACGACATAAGGATGTCTGATCGCTGTAGAGCGTGTTATCAGGCTTATCAATGATGTCGTGAGCAAGGTGCGAATAACGTACTCCAGTTGTTGACTTCTGTCAGGGCATAACATGAAGAGGCGAGAACAGCGTTCCACGATTTTGACCAGTCGATTTTTGTCAGGACTAGATGTTGCTGGGACATGGCTGTGTGTGTTCAAGGTCAAGAATCCAGACAGGTCTGTTTATATACGCAGCAGTGCATGATAGACACCGCGCACGCACTGTGCAGCATGATCCAGTAATTAGCGTGGAACGTTTGAATGTTCTGACGGCGAGCAAGGAAACACGCTTCGGCATCGTGTAGATGTGTAAGCATCAACATGATACGCACAACGTGGAGAACACATGGTGGGATGAAGCGCCTGCCAGTCACTTACCAGAAAGCTCCAAACCACGATAGCCACCAGACAACAACCGCAAGCTTCAATTCCACTCCATCTCTGTACAGGGGATCTTCAGTGGCCCCATATGACTGGAATCTCGCAAATGCAGAGTCTCGTGACATACAGCCATGTGATAGGACTGGTATCGGTACCCAAATGAATCTGTTGCGGCGCGTTTAGTCAAGTGATGCGACGCCTGAAGCTAGTTGATTGAGGATGTACCTTTTACTACGCCTCCTCTCTTGAAACAGGATAAACCTGCCCAAGACCTTGAATAGCCAAGAGATCCAAGGCTTGACTCAAATATGTAACGTGCTGTTCTCCCGTGAACTGCAATGGCGTCATAAGGAAATAAGAGAGACACATGAAAACTCCTGCCGTGATAAATGTATGTCTGAGTGCTGAAGAGCGTGTTATCAAGCTTATTAACAACGTAAGAAAATAACCCACTTATTGACTTCTGTCAGAGCAGAACTTAACGAGGCGAGAAGGGCGCCGAGCAATTTGGGCCAGTCAATGTTGGGCAGGTCTGGATCTTGCTGTTAGAACATTGCTGTGCGTGTAAGGTCAAGACCATCTAGATATCCAAACAAATCTGTTTAAAGAGGCAGCAATGCATAATAAGCGCCGCACACCCATGCATGCAACATGATCCAGTTCCCCTGAAATCAACTTTGTGACAAAAGTTGTATCCCCAGCGGGTGGTCTCGTTCGAAACACCTCAACGTCATGCACGCTACACAAAAACGACATGAGCGGGCGGGACATCGACTGCGTGTATTAGTGGAAAATATCTCGCCCGTCTGACCTCGGACATCACATATGGGTCATCTGGATTCTGGGAAGGAGGGAAGAAGTTTGCATGGGTGTATCAGGGTGTGTGTAAATGATTATAGGGTAGAAAATTTTGAATCTCAACTTATTCCTGCTGTGCTAATGAGGTGCACAAAAGCGGGAGTTGAGTTTCCTGTTCATGAGTAGGGAACGTACCTTGCTGATCTCGAGTGAATCGCGAAGTCTCTGCTACCCAACCCAATGCCGATCACCCAGAACAAAATACTATGAATGCTACGCATCCAGTTCATAGTCAAGCATGATACAGTATCATAGACAGCCGGGGCACTAGTCAGATCCACGTCAGGGAAGACTGGACGAACGAGGGTAGCAGTGAGGATAGGACCTTGTAAGTTGTCATTGATGGGTGGAGATGAGTAGAAGGCGCTCGCGTCATGCACATCACTAGCACTGGTGAGGTGGACTGTGTGTCCCATATTTTCCAGCAACACACAGCCCACCTAACCAGCACCAGAACAACAGGCATGCAACCATATGAACACAATGTATGTGAACATGCGTTTAGAATGTGACGTCGTAGGCACTTATGCGACAGATCAGTATTAGCACAACTCAGAAAATTGCTCGGCGGACGAGCGGGACTTGAGCATGCAAAGGGAGAGAAGGAGACCACGGACAAAGAACGCACTGACGATGCTCACAATGGTCGTAAAATAGTATTATCTGAACTTGGACGTGATGGTGGGTTATAGGGTATCTAGGACAGAGGAGGGAAAAAGTTTGCATTGGTGTGTTCATATGTATCGCTGACACTGGTGAGTTGAGATTAGGTTGTTGGCGATAAAACTATCTGCAACCTTATCTCATTTCGCCAGCGTTAGGATGACAGGGATGCGCGACCACCTGGATACAATTAAATTGAACATGCATTTAAAATATGATGTGGTACGTACTTTTTGGCGACAAATCGGCATCGGCTGCAGTAGAAAATATTTGGCGTTACGAGAGGGACTTGAGCATGCAAATGGAGAGGCCATCGAAGAAAAATGCCCTGCCAGCGTTCAGTCAGCATGCTCGCAAAGTCATCATCTGAACTTGAATGCAATGATGGGTTATAGCCCAAGTTGGCGACGAGAGGAGGAAGGAAGTTTGTACTGGTGTGTTTGTCAGTCCAGCGAATCACATGTTGTATTGAAAAACACCCCGATGCAAACGAGGCGATTGTCCTGCAGGAAGCAATCTCAAGTCAATAGGTGTTACTGGAAAACATGAACCGATGGGAGCCGCTTTCAACATCCCAAAGGCAAGTAGGAAAAAGGGTCCCAAGGGCCGACACATGAAAGTTTGAAAATTGAACCAGTGACCTGCTAGGTAGGAGATGGTGGGCTGCGCGCTTGTGCGTCACACGTAAAATAATGTATGCATCGTAAATGCTGGCAAGTTGGACTGCAGCTTTGTATAACCCCAAGACAACGCAATGGCCCATGCCACCGGCGTCTCGGCGACGGGCGTGCGCGACCACCCAGATACATACCAACATGGAGTGTGTAAACTTATTTGCAAGCGAAAACAGTGTCGGCAACGGTGAAAAACACATAAGAAGTGACACTTGGCCCGGCACGCACAAGGAGAGGCAGAACAGTGAATCGTCAAGAACGCCCGACATGATGCGTGGGCGAGACATCAACACCATGAGGATCATCGTCGCATCATGGTTGCGATCTCTCGTTCGTCTGACCTTGAAGGTTATATAGCTCATCTGGATTGAGCGAAGAACTTCTGACGCGGACGAAGGACGCAAAATAAAACAAAACAAAACAAAACAAAACAAAACAATGTTTGTCGTTGTTTGGTAAACAGGTGGACGCATTGACCTCGAGGAGGTGTACATTGCATTATATCTGTACATCAAGCCGACCATCAGAAAGTTATACGATAGTCTTCGATCTCTTCGCTCGCAAGCCCGATCCTTCATCTCCCTCAATTTTCCACGCAACACCCCCTTCTTCTTCTCCACCGCCCAGTCGCTTCTTCCACCATAGATGCATATGGTGATTCTGAATCCGAGTCTCATGCACCCCTACCCCCGTGTGATGCAGACATTCTCTCGCGTCCTGCTCGAGAACGCGTAAACGTGCGCATTAAGTACTGCAGATGAATATACAAGCCACGTACATGGAACGCAGCAAGAGAAGAGCGGAATATCTCGCGCACCAGGGCGATTGTAAGAGGTGGCTCTGTGCGTTTGCTGCGTAAGCGGGGAACGAGGAAGGCGAAGGCGAAGAAGAGTTGAAACGACCCTGTTTGAATATCATTCCGGTGTGTTCCTCAGATGGCACTTGTTCAATGCGATTACGATTACGACTACAGGTGCATATCGTGCATCTCAACAACACTCTTTGTACTCGGGTATTCTACCATTCCTCACTCTCTTTTCCACCACAATAACTCCATTCCGTGCGCCGTCACGCCTCCTTTGATATTTCAAACACAGATGTCCTGCCACATCCCCCGCGATGACAACACACTCGTTGATCCTACGGTATACGTGAGGCCGTGGGGTTACTGCGGGGGAAGAATCAAAGAGAGAGGGTATATCTGACTGTGATCTTTTGTCTCGTGCTTTAGATTTCGAACCTATTTTCAGGTACAGACAGATATAAAACGCACGCACTTGCGCGCAGCTTCGTCCATCCACGATGACAAGTGGTGTCCACCGCGAGCGCTCGCGAGCTGTGCCGCCGTATTGTGTAAACCATATACAATGCAGCAACTCAACTCGTTAGCGTCGGAACGACAGGCATACGCGACCACTCGGATGTGTCATTCTGAAGCGATAGCTTTTCAAACATGGGCGTGTACGTATTGACGAAAAACAGCGGAGTAGGACCACTCACAGGAATACGACGTGACACCAAGGCGTGCAAAGGGAAAGAAGGAGAACTACTGTACGCTCAACAAGTTATGAAGTTTGTATTATGTGCTTACCAATGTTCTTCATTACAGTTACACTAACACTTTTTGGTCGCTGTACAGACAACGGCTCAGAGATAAGAGACGAAAAAAAGACGAGTCATGCGGTTGATCCAAACAAAAACATTGCCGACCATAAACAATGACCTCTTTACGGACATCGCATCACACAACACCTGTCCGTCTTCCTTCGACCACATACCACCATCTTTCTCCAGCTGCATCTTTCACCCCTCGGCCGCTAAGACCTTCCCCTAAAATGTTTACACCCACAGCAACGTGCTATCCTTCGCTACCTCCACAAAACCCACGTCAAATTATGGACGACAGTCAGTCTTGCGGCAATCTATTGAACCATCATTGGTATTGCTCGGATGATATCTGGTTGGGACTGTGGATTTAGCAGACCGGGTTCGGGCATCTGTACTGGATTCATTGTTGCTAGTTCCATCAGTGGTGAGCGCTTTTCAACATCTCCTGCGTTCATGTAGCACAAATGGTGGTTTACAACATTATTAAGATCGTTCCTCCCCTGAGTTCCTACCAATTCAACCTGATCTAGGAGCCGCACGACGTTCTCTAGTCGCATTCTCCTGCGTCTGCTGTTCCTTCAAAGATGTAGCATTGGATGTGCTCTGGGCCGAGCTGGAGAATTTGAAATCGCTTTTCACTTGTCTTCCACGAGATTTATGGACTAGAAATAGTAATCTCAGGGAGCTTGTACGGCTTACCTGCTGTCTGTGACACACTTTCTGGCTTGCGATGCTAACTTTTTTCGTGATGTCATTGTCAGATCACACGGAGACCTGTAACCGCAGCAGATTGGTCGGTCTTCGAGCGATACGCAACTCGGGTGCGAGTTCCGGGGGAGATCAGATCAGATATTTTTGGAGGCGTAGATGCGGGGTTCGTCTACGCCATAATGAGTTTTTCTGCCCAGTCGCTGCTGGTGCCAAACCTTCGAGCACTCTGCTGCGGAGGATGTCCTCACAACTTCCATCCATGTATGCGTTACATTCTGGGTCCTAACCTCGGCTGCCTATATCTGGCGTCCAACCAAACAAATTTTTGGATGCAGATCATGTCTTCGTTGGTAT